CCCCGCCCTCCTCCTCCCCCTGGCCGCTGAGGCGGGAAGCGGGAAAGGAGGCACTGAGGGAAGAGGGAGGGCGGGCGGCAGCCGCAACCCCCCCCACTCGCCTCAGCTCTCCCTGCCGCATTTACACGGTTGTATCCGGCTGAGCGTTTCCACTACGAGTAGAGAAATACCGACAACGCTGCAAAAGACCTAATTTGGATACTTTCGCTCATTCTAGTCACCAGCGCTTGAGGTCTGGGTTGAAGCTGTGTGAAGAGCCCTTAGCCTACAGACCAGAAGGGCAGTCTCTGAAAGAGCTTGGCTTGTTCAGCCTAACAGAACAAAAACTAGAAGAGGAAACTTCTAGGGCTTTTTTTGCTTCATAAATAAATCAGTGGAGTAAATGCAGAAGGAACTACTTAAATGACACAGCTGGTATAAGAACAAATGGATAGAAAATGTCAGCAAGTCGGCTCTCCGTGAGAGGGCTGTGGTGAAAACGAGCCACTGCATTGGGTCCTGCTTTCCTGGGGCATAGTCAGCCAATACACAACCATGGAAAGTGCATTTCAGCCTCATAACAGAAACTTAGTAGCCTTGCTCAAGGAGTAATCAATAAAGCTAATGTGCTACATCGTCTGACCATAGACTAATTGATGTTTGAAAAAGGGCTAGACACTACTATGACCTGCATATGTAAATACTACCTGGTTGCATTATAGGTTCATAGAATCACAGAATAAGTGGGGTGGGAAGGGATCTTAAGGAGCCTGTAGTCCAACCTCCTCCTCCAAGCAAGCTCAGCCATGAACTCAGACCAGGTTGCTCAGGTCTTTATTCAGTCTTGAAGACCTCCAAGGACAGAGACGGGACAACCTCCCTGGGCAGCCTGCTCTCACAGGGAGGAAGCTTTTCCCTTTTGATCCACTCTGAGCCATTCTCGTTTCAATTTGTGCCCGATGTCTCTTATCCTCCCACCATGCCTCACTACAAGAAGCCTGACCCTATTTTCTTTATAAAAATCTCTGCAGGTACCAGGAAGGTGGAGGCCTCCTTTTAGGTCCCCATAAAGCCTTCTTTTCTCCCAGTTGAGCAAGCTCAGTTTTCCTCAGCCTGTCCTCACAGAGCAAGTGCTCCAGCCCCCAGACATCTTGGTGGCCCTCTGCTGAACTCTCCAGTTTATCCATGTCTTTCAGGTATTGGGGAGCCCAGAACTGGACCAGAATATCTAAATACAGTCTGGCTTGTGCAAAGCAGAAGGGGATAATCACTTCTCTCTATCTGCTGGCCATGCTCCTGTTAATACAGCCCAGGATGCTGCTGGCCTTGATTGCTACCAGGACACACTGCTGGCCCACGCTCAGCTAGCTCTCTGCCAAGATCCCCAGGTCCTTCTCAGCAGAGCTGCTCCCTGGCCTGTATCATTGCAAGGGGCTATTCCTTCCTACATGCAGTACTTCACACTTGTCCTCGTTGCATTGCATAAGGTCCCTGTCACCCCGTTCCTCCAGCTCTCTGGATGGCAGCCCTGCACTCGAGCACACGGCAGGTGGTCCCCCACAGCTTGGCGTCATCTGGAAACTTGACGGGTGTACTCTGCTGCCTCCACCCAACTGATAAATATGTTAAACAAGACAGGTCCAAGTACAGACATGCTACTTTGGTAGTACAGCTAACATTGTACATTAGAATAGGCGGAGTCTGAACACACTTTACTCCTTTCTGGAATAAGGAAAGTGAATGCTGCCAAGGTCACTGCATCCCAGCGATGGAATACTGCTAAGTAGTAGGGCCTTTGATTCTGTTTTTCTACTCATACCATCATCCTTACATCTGTATCCAATAAAGTACAGTGAGTGCAACATTCTCTTTTATCCCTAATCAGAACAGGCAAGTAATAACAATCTGTAGTAGTTACTGAATACAATAAATAGAAATATGACATGAGTGGGAATGAAACAAACTACTACCTTAAGTTCCTATTGCATATCACTAGGTTTCTACTATCCAGCATTGTCATTGTCTGCGGTCTTGATGAAGTACAGCTATTTTCTTATATGATGAATATCATACTAAATACTGTACTTGTATATTAACACCATGTATGAACTAAAACCATTCAAAAGTTAACACCAAATACCTGAAGCATACACTTAAGTTGACCTCGGGCAGTTTTAGTCTATATTGTGTGCTAAAGTTATTTAGGTGTTCAACATCAGCTAATCATTTCCACACGATCAATAAAGCTACATGCAAGCACTCACAGGAACCAGCAAGCACTGAGTGTTAGTATTTTCCCAGCAACATAATGACAGACACCACATTTTGGTAATCACTTCAGAGTGAATATGTATATATTATATATACATACACTCTTTTTTTTTTTTTTTACCAATATAACTGTTACTTTAGTGGCAATACATACAAGTTTGTGGACTGATGGAGTATCTGATATAATTTACCTGCAGTGTGGGTTGAAAGTAGTGTCTGATGCAGGATGATTGACTGAGGTAAGAAGTGGCATAAATAAAAGATCAATACAAGAAGCGAACCTCAATGGAATACTGACATGTTTTTCTAAAAACTTTTTAGTTGCAGTAACACTTGTTAAAAGCTAGTGTCAATAGTCCAAAATTCAAGGTAAAAGAGGAGAAGATGCATTTGTTCTTCCTAAAGCAACAAGGAAAAGCTAGTTTTGGCAGGTTTGGCTTTCCTAAATGCATCATGTATAGTTATAATTTCTATAAGTGTGTCATACTATTAGGAGTTGTGTAGGAAAAGTAGGCCACAGAAAACAGACAGATAATAGAGCTTGATGGTTAGACAATTCGTATTTGAAAATAGATTCTGCTTTGAGTCGCATGCATGGCAGAAGGCTGGAAGTACAGGTTGTGTTTCATTGGTCCAACTGTTTATCCAAGATGTGAAGCAACAGTGAAACTGATTTTCCATCAAGTGATTCCAGATTTGCTCTGGTCTCCCTGAAAATGGAGTACGTAGCATAGAGCTGTGCAGAAGGTTTAAATGCTTTGAGTTTAGTATGACTGGCTGATACCAGTAAGAAAAGCAGGTAAGAGTCTCAGACACGGTGCATATGTTGACAGCTGAACTATTAGATACCCCTCTGTGAGGAAGTCCTTGTTGAAAGATACAGACACTAGTCAGGCCTAAGTGACCTACCGCAGTGGCATCTGAGACAAGCGACCACAAACGCAATTCCAGAGCTCTGCCTCATGTACATCTCTAACAAGAAAAGAAGTCTTTCCTATTATTTGGAAACTAGCACTACCAAAACTATCATTTCTTCTACAAATGGTCTTATATGACATGTTTTGGGGCTGTAGCATTTATAGAGTCCGTGTTTGTTAAAAAGGAGTTTTGAATAGTCCATCATCTTGCACTCCGATTTTTACCTTGCTTGAAGGAACTGCATAGCCACAAAGGATGCGCAAGTCAAGAAATATATTTGCCCAAGACATGCATCTAAAATAAGATTATTTTTTTTTTGTAAATTCTGTAACATTTATGTTATTTGTATTGAGTATGATAAGGTTTTCTGATATCAACACTGATTAATATCAGAACATCAAAAACATGTCAGAAAAATATATGCATTTCACTTACTAAAACAAGAGCTTTTAATTAGTGTATGTATCAATACATGTACAATAAATGTTTAAATTACATCAATACTATCCACTTAGAGGAAGTGCTATAAATATCACAAAGCCTCAGAAGCTAGAAGACGACTTGATCTATTTTATTAATAGACTAAAAGATAGCTGAATTGCATGATTCAGTGTCTGCTCTAGATACTGTAGCTCTTTCTGTGAGCAAGGAAACACTTCCTAAGAACCTTAAAATTATGAAAATAGTCTACTGCATGAGCCAAAAGTAATTTCTGGCTTAACTCCAGGGACTGCAGTGAAGTTAAGTAATTTTTAAATGATGAGATCAAATCCAGTTCTGCTACACAGTTAAAAAATTGTCTGTTAAGTACATCCAGACATTTTATGTCACCTGAAGGAGCAAGCTTCAGAACACACACAGGACGATATAATTAAACAACACAAAGGCAATAAATATTTAAAAGGCAACTAAGTTCAGTGTTTTTTCTTGTTTTAGGGTAAGATGAATACTTGCTCCACTATATAGACGTGATTAGCTCAGTTTTGAACTGTCATTATAAAATGATTCTTTAAAAAACAGCATATTTTTTCATCTTAGTATTGTATAATAACAACCTACGGTAAATTCAGATTTTTATTATTTTTCACATATTTTTCTTTACTGGCATATGTCTTTTCCAGCACATGGCATTAGACTGGTTTAGTGTGAAAAAGGTATTAACGTCTTCATTCAGAAAGACTAGTGCTGTAATACAGATAAGTGTCATTTACAAATTAAGAAACCGTGATTTAATATTGCCAGTGGAGGTTAGGCTGGGTATGCTTCAGCTGGGTTCTGACTTTTCCTGTGGCACATCACCATTTTGGAGGACACGGAACACCTCATAGGGTCGGGGCTGTTACCTGAGCTTTACTTACAGCACAGCTTTAAATAGCCATGCCACACGAAGGCAGTGCTCATTCAGAGAGTAATCAGAGGGACTGCTCATGTGCGTTTGTACTCAACATGTACAAACGTATTCGGAGGACTGAGACTTCACCACGTATTTCTTAAAGCAGCATGAGCAGTGTCGTGATTATAAGGTTTGCTTAACCACGCTGCAGTTAGCTCCCACTGAGCTCACTTTTTAGCTTGATTTAGTTTCAGACATCCAAATTAATCTCTTTTGTGACCAAAATAGAGTGCTTACAATTGACTGCTGCTGGAAGCACTGATCTGGGTACAGGTTGTAGCCCAGACCTTATGTCACATCAAGAGCAGCGGTGCATCTAACACCAAACCTGGGAAATGTTTCAAAGCTTTCCTGATGCC